GTGTGATACTTATGTGATAGCGGTGTGATAATCACCGTTATACATCACTTGGGTTAACGTTTTGGTTGATAAGTTAAAATTTTGGTGTCATCATGTGATTTGGRTGTGATAATCATGTGATAAGGGTGTGATAATCACTGTTATACATCACTTGGGTTATCGTTTTGGTTGATAAGTTAAAATTTTGGTGTAATCATATAATATGGGTGTGATAATCATATGATATGAGTGTGATACTTATGTGATAGAGGTGTGATACGAAGAAAAGATGTTAAACCATCGACTATCTGGAGATTATCATGAACGAGAAGGAGAATAAGATAACTACCAAGAGTAAAACGTGGAACGTGAAAAGATAATTATGGTTAATTAAAATAAAATAAAAATTATAAAAATTACTTAATTACATTATTGTCCTTATTAAATTATTTATATATAATAAAAGTTAATTTATTAATTAAAATTTTTTGAGGTTATTGGTTGTTCTCGCGTTTTCGTAAATCACATGGGTTCTCGTTTGAACCTCCACCTATATATATATATATATATATATATGATGTGGAAATCCATTAAACTCGTTGGAGTGTTATGGAGTGTGGGTATAAAATGATAGAGTTGTATGGTGAGTGGAAAGCTGATGTGGCAGTCCATGACACTCTGGTAGAGTGTCATCCATTGGAGATGCCCTAACGAGCTTAACAGGACTCACAACTAATTTAGTCAGCTATTCATGATTGTTTGGTAATGGCTGAATGATATAGAAAGTGGCCTATCCAGTAAGTTTCTAGGGGGGGCTTTATGGAGAAAGCCAAGTTTTTTCCAAACCTGTCCCTTCCAACTAAAAAACAGGCTCCTTCCATCTATGAAAAAACCCTCCCAAAAAAAACTTCTAAATCTATATAGACGGAGTAATCCACACAGACAACCTTATCCTTGACTTGATGGAAATCGACCAAACAACCCTTAAACTTTTAATGTGTGTGTGTATGTATAATTAGAGGTGGGTTATTATGCAACCCTTTACGTTCCTACAACCCTTACAACCAAATTAGGAGCATCCATTTGATCATCAATGATTACCATTTGATGGGTTGTAACTTCCCTTAAAGGTTCAGGGGAAAACCCCCAAAAAAAATGAACAAATGAGGAACACTGTGACCATGGTAACATTCATCGGGACGTATGCGCATGTGCATACAAGTAATTGAAGCTGTTTTCTTGGCTTACAAATTACTTGTATGCACATGTGCATACTGTCCTGATGAAGGATTACCATAGAGTTCCTCAGTTTTTCATTTTTTTGCGGTCTTCCTCTGAACCTGACCCTATATATATATATTATATGGTATAAACTTATGTTTTTTGTTTTATTTATTACTTGTGTGGTCGATCTATAGTCTTGGTAATAGGGTCTCCAAAAAGATCGGAATGGCCCTGTCTATTACGGGTTATCTTCAAGTGTTTGAAACGTTTATCTAATTGAACGCAGCTCAAGGAAGCTATTGGATTTATCAAAGAGAACACACAGAAGCTGTTAAGTACAGAAGTTATGCTATTTCCTGTATCTGCACGATCTGCACTTAAACGAAAATTGTTAACCATGTCTGATGTTGGTCAAGGGCACGAAGAATCATCTGGAAACGATTCTTATTGGGAGATGACTAGCTTTTATGAACTTGAGAAGTATTTGTACAGCTTCTTAGATGGGTCAACAAGTACAGGAATTGAAAGAATGAAGTTGAAACTTGAAACGCCGATTGCAATTGCAGAGCAGCTGCTCTCTGCATCACAAAAGATCGTGGAACAAGATTGCCAACAGGCCAAAAGAGACTTGATTTCAATAAATGAGCTCGTAAGTAGTGTAAAAGACTATGCATCCACGATGGAAACTGAAAGCATTTATTGGAAGAGACGATCTTTGTCGCTGGTATGATTATATAACCTTATTTTATTATGGAAAATGATTTTGGATTTAAGAAATTATCATTTTTTAATTTGGTTTACGGAACATCCACTCTACTCTATGGGGTAGAAATAAAGTCTATATACATCTTACCCTCCCTAGACCCCGAGGTGGGATAAACTCTCTTTTGGGGTAGAGGTCAGGACCGCATACATCTTACCCTCCACATACCCCATGTAATCGTACCAGATATTATCCGCTTTGTTCACACACCTGAACTCACGGTTTTAAAATGTGTCTGGTAGAAGAGGTATCCGGTCCTTATAAGGCAACCTTAGTTCCCCTCCCCAACCGATGTGGGATCTTACAGTCCACCCGCCTTGAGGGCCTAGCTCCTTGCTGGCACACCGGCTCTGATACCATTTGTAACACCTTAAAGCCCAAAGCAACAAGCTAGCCCAATAACTTCGAATCCAACTTAAAATTATGGTGGAAGTTATTGGTAGCCCACAACTTGAGGCTTATAAGGAGCTCACAAATCTCATTTCTATGTATGTGGGACGAGTTGTTATACCCCATCTCTGGTTGGGATACACTCTTCGAGTAGAGGTCATGTCTGTGTACATCGTACTCTCTTCAGACCCTACCTCTAGGTAGGACATACTTTCCTCGGGGTAGAGGATAGGTCTGGGTACGTCTTATCCTTCCTAGATCCCACCTCGAGGTGGGATATATGGGTCCGTTTGGTTTGGAAAATCTTTTTCACTAGTATGATCATATAAAATTGTGCAAACAAGTGTATTCCGATATTTTATTGTGTCATGGAAAATGTTTTTACATTTAACAAATTACCATTTTATATTTGGTTTATGGAAGCAACTGCTCTACTCTTTAGGGTAAAGGTCATGTCTATATATATCTTACCTTCATGGACCCCGCCTTCTAGGTGGGATATTGCTGTATTTATTTGGTTTGTTTTGGACTAAATTACCTTATTAAATTCGGGTGTTGTGTTAAAATGCAGGTCGATAAGACCAAAGCACGCGTTGTGGAGCTTATTATGTCAACTCTGCGGTTATCAAATCTTGATATTGTTGTGTCGTATGTTTTCAGAGGAGGCAATACTTCCCCGATGCCTGCTGCTGCAAGTGTTAGAAATGATATTATTGGTCCATCACTATCGGAATCACAAGTAAGTGAATTAATCATATCCTTGGAGCATATCCAACAACTATTCATAATTTCTCCAAAATGAAGTTAAAATATCCAAAAACAGAGTAAATTATGATTTGCGTCCCTGTGGTTTGTTAATAGTTTTGATTTTTGCCGCTGTAGTTAGAAGTTGTGATTTTTGTCTCTATGGTTTGCAATTTATTGCTATTTTCGTCCCTGTACTAATTCCTACCTCTAAATACAAGGGACCAAAACAGTAAAGAACTGTAAACCACAGTGACCAAAACAAGAATAAATTACAAACCATTAGGACGAAAATCGCAATTTCTAAACCACCGATAAAAAACGTAATTTACTCAAAGAAAATTAATACATTCAACTCCAAAATGGTCTCTGCTTCGGAGATTCTAGCCATAATTATATTACTAAATTATTCTATACATTTAACTGGTGGGAACAATAAAAAAATATTTCTCAGGTTTCGAAAATCTGCAAACTTTTACCCCCCCTGACTTTCTCGTTTTTGGAGAATCTGTTGGAGATGCTCTTATTATCGTCTTTTCTGCATATTTGGTTTTAGAAACTGCATTTTGTTCGGATATCTTGATTTCCGGTTTTATCAAGAACTTCTCTTGACGTGTAGAGATTGCTTGAGGAATACGTTGTGTGGCTCCAATCAAATAATGCCCGTGAAATAAAACTCTATGAGGAAACTTTCGAGAAAAGATGGGCTTCGTTTATAGACTCGGGCAATCGATTTCAGTCAGAGACTCGCAAGTTGGTTGAGAGAAAAAATGAATTCAGTATCGAACTAATAAAGGACTTTAGTTCTGCTGCTGCTTCCAAGCTATTTGAGCAAGAAATTCGTGAAGTGGTGAGCTTGATCTACTTTATATGTATTTTATTCTCGATGATGGATAAATTGTTCGTTCTGTGTTAAGCGATGTTTGACAACTATAAGCTAGCTTATTCTTTAAGCTTATTGAAAGAGGCTTGTTTTGTTAGCCATAAACTAACTTATAAGCTAGTTTTTTTAAAAGTTACTTCAAGTAGGGTTTGAATAAGCTCCATGGGCTTTTTCCCACTTTTTCCGATTATTCCCCTTATGTTTTTCAAATTAAATTTTCAATACATCTTGTTAGGTCAATTTAGTTTATCATCTAACTTATCAGCTACTTTTTACTAAATATATTAGTTTATCGACTAGCTTATCGGCCAACAACTAGTTTTTTGGCTTGTTGGAGTCGGAGGTTTCCATAATCCACCATGTGATGGTTTACAGGCTGGTTATTCAAATATATATACAAGTAATTTGCAAGCAATTTGTCTGTTATGCACACGTGCATAAAAACCAAGAAACAACTTCAATACTTGTATGCATATGTGCATACTGTCCTGATGAACCGTTACCACGGCGTTCCTAATTTTTTCAATTTTTTGGGGGTGTTCCCCTGAACCTCCCTCTCTCTATAAAGAACTTGTAATTATATGTTATGCCATTTTTACTCATTATAATTTTGTTTGGTTTGTTTATTTCAGTTTTTGGGGACTTTTGGTGGAATCGGAACAGCCAGTTTATTAGCTTCGCTTCTGACGTCGGTGCTACCAACCACTTTAGAAGATCTTCTTGCTCTTGGTCTTTGCTCTGCTGGCGGGTAATCCATCTTATCATTGCTCAATTTATCCTTCTAATTTCTCGATTTGTTTGAATCTTGAAAACGGACTCATATTTTAGGATGGATTATTGATAAGTTGTTAAGAGTCTCACATTACCATTTCCCCTGAATATTTGTTGGAAACTCCCTTCTCTTTTCCAGAGCTCTTTTGCAGAATAATCTAATGAGGTTCGACATATTCTTACATGGTATAAGAGCAAAATCTACCACTCTAGGATCTCGACACTCTAGAGCAATCTGTACCCCTCTAGCCCCTTCTCGATATTCAGCCATAATTTTAGAGTCCCACATTACTTGGACCATTTCTCTTCGATATATGTTGGAACTTCTCTTTTATCTTCAAGAGCTCTTTTGGAATGTAAATCTAATAAACATGGTATGAGAGTCAAGGTCTATCATTCTAGGGAGTCGACACTATGGGACAATTTTGCCCCTCTATCCTCTATGGGAGGGGACGTGTTAGAGTCCCATATAAGGTAGACTTGAACCATTTCCCGTCAATATATATTGGAACCTCCTCTCTCTCCTCGAGAGCTCTTTCGGAGAGTAATCTAATGAGGTTCCCCATATTCTTGCATGGTATCAAAATCAAGATCTACCACTTTAGGGGCTCGACGCTCTGGGACAATATGTACTCGTTTAGCCCCCTCTCGACAACATAGGACAATCTTTGCCCGTCTAGCCTCCATTAGAGGGGGCTTGAGTGTCACATTTTTTTTCTAGACTTACACCCTTTCTTCTCAATATATAGTAATATAATTTATTCTAATGAAGTTCATGTGTTCTCACACAAGTAAAACGTAACTCATATTCTTACACCTCTCTTTATGCGAACAGTTACATAGCGGTTGCAAATTTCCCGGTTCGTAGGCAAAAAGTGGTTGAGAAAGTGAACAGGACTGCTGATGGCTTAGCTCGGAAACTCGAAGAAGCAATGCAAAGAGATCTTTTGGAGACAACCAAAAGTCTCGAAAACTATGTTAAGCTTGTCGGTAAACCTTATCAAGATTTAGCACAAAGTAGATTAGATGAACTTGTGATGATCCAAGAGAAATTGACCAAAATGGAAGAAAGAATTAAAGCATTACAAAGTGATGTCCAAAACCTCCATATGTCATCATGATAAGATGAACACCCCGGTCGGTGCAATCATACCAGCCCTAATGCTTCAGATGCCATTAGAACTCCGCAGTTAAAGATGAACACTCATGTGTTCTTTGAATCTTGAGAGTTTACATGGTGAAATTTGATGTTTCTTTTTAATTGTATTTATAAGTAGACATCTTGTTTGTTGCGTGATTATGTAATGTATAATTGAAACTTTGGTATAGCCAATAAATTTGATTGATTTTTATGTGTTTTTTATAACAAAAACATGGGAAATTTACAAAAGGAGAAAAGGGTTCAGGATCGGCTTGGCCAAGAGACGAGCCTGTTTGGGATCGTTTTAGGGCCAAGGATCGAGCCTGATTAGCGTTTTGTTATTGTGTTTTTAAGATTACGGTTTTGATTCGATGATATTTTTCTGTTCACGTGACTTGTAATTCATTGTTGTTTTTGATCCTCATATTTATTAAGGACCAAAATTAAACTTTACTAAGGGGATGTTTGATTGGTTTTTCATTAAATCATGTATGGATAAAATTGTTTTTATAGTTTAATTTCTCCGTATGAATTAGAAATATTCCTATTTGAAAGAATTTTTCACAAACGAAAGGAGTGTATTGTTTTAATTGGGAATGACATGTTTGGAAGGAGAAAAAAAACTTGCATTTTTACATAAATCTTGCCCTAGAATTAGTGACGCTTTTTGTATCATAATGTATAACTAATGTAAAATATAAGGAGTTCAATTAAAATGCTAATAAATATACCTTAAAAACCTTATATATAAAACCATATTTTATATATGAAGTATTGTTTATTGATGCATATTAATTAAAATTCAAAATTACAAGTAAATTATGTGTAAGTACAACTTATTAAGCTTCATGTTTGAATTTGTGTAATTAATTTTAGGTAAATATAATCAAATACAGAATAAAATTCTCATTTTGAATATCAAATCTAAAATATAATTAGGATAATTGTTAAGTTCTAACAGAATACTTAGTTAATATTATAAACCAAAAATAAATTATTTCATCATTAAATCTAAAGTAAATTATAACAGAAAAATTGAATAAAAAAATTATAAAAAAATGATCACTTTTATATATATATATATATATATATATTTAATTCTTATGATATCTAAATTTATATTTTATCAAGAAAACAAGTTATTGTTTGTTCAAAACCACATAAATTTGTATTATAACATCGACATGAACCAAAAATATAAAATAAAATATTGAAATCAAGATATATTTCATTACATTATACGACTAACCTTACGCTAGTTAATTAAAGGGCAAAATGCACAAAATAGCAACCTACTTTCACAAATTTCCTTATTATAGCATTCTACTTTCAGTTTTTCTTATTACGGTAATGTACTTTCAAAATATTTTTTATTAGGGCATTGTACTTTCAAAATTTTACCCATTATAGCATTGGGTAACCTGTTAYYTTTTGAACAGGTTTTTCTTTGTTGACGTGACAAATTTAAAATGACATGGAAACCATGTAGGATAACATGTTACACATAGATATCCTACTTGTCATTTAAAAAAAAATTAATGTAAAAAACAATTTTTGAAAATGAAAAACCTTCATCCCTCTCATTGTTTAGACCGTTCCTTCTCTTCCTCTTCTTGATGACTGTTCATTCACCCACAAACCCTCAATCCCTCAATCGCACACATCGTGTTCCTCTTTGGCCTAATCGACTATCACCATCTTCTTCCTGATCAAATCTAAACCCTAATCGACTCAATCTCATCGACTTCCTCATCGCGCATCCTGTTCCAACAGGTAAGTTCTATATGTTTTACATTTTCTGTTTCATAGCTTGTGTCATGAGAATCCATGTCTGTTTGCCGTATATGTTTGCCTTAATGGTGTAGCATGATGGGTAGGTTGGATTCRATACTTTCTGTTTGTCTCTCTGTGATTATGATTCCAACTATGTAGTTCTGATGTCATTGAAATGGATGCGGACTGTAGTTATGATTCGATACTTTCTGTTTGTCTCTCTGTGATTAGAGATGAAATCTCAAGAAAAGAGGCAGAGAAAAATGGGATTCACTTAGAACAAATGATTCATATTAATGTGCATATAAAGTGTTTGTGTTTATGTTTATGTGTGTTAATTAGGTGTTAAGGTTCTAAATTGGCAACTATTTTGCAAATTTAGATCGAAATTTGGGTTTAATCAA